TGACAGCTCTTAACTGGGGTTTGAATGCTAATCTGGATTGTGTTAACTATGTTGGATAGGACCACGAATATGTGCATTGGAAAGCAAGCTCTTGCCACTACTGGACCAAGATTGGCTCCTATGAATTCGAACTTTTGAAAAGGGGTCAAGGTGGATTTTTGAATGTTGAAATGCAGGCCCAATCTGAGAAAGAGGTCTATGTCTTTGCAAGTTGTCTGAAGTTTGGCCCAGGGAGTGACCTTTCAGAAGCTAATTATCTGCATAAGGGAACATCAGAATTTCTTTTCTGTGAAAGTGTGCCACTACTACTGATGTACTACTGATGTGATATTTGAAAAGACCATTGAGGTAGCTGATAAGCCAAAAAGGAGCACCATGTACTAAAAATGGTCCTGACTGAGAATAAAACATGGAAATCTTTTGTGGGATGAGTGGATTGTTACAAGGAAATATGCATCCTGAAGGTTGAGGGCTAAGAGCCAATCCTCTTGGTCCAGTGCCAAAATAATTGTTGAAAATGTTGCTATTTTCAATTTTTGTGCCTTCACAAAGGTGTTGAGTAGCCTTAAATTTAGGATGGGTCTCCAACTTTTTTTTTTTTGAACCAGGAAATACTTGGAATAAAACCCTTTCCCTCTGTGATGCATGGGAACTGAATCTATAGCACCCAAGAGTAAAAGAGAGTCTATTTCCTGTCATAACAGGCTCTCGTGAGAGAGGTCCCTGAAGAGGGACAGGAAAGGGGACTTGGAAGGCAGAAGAGAAATGAAGTGAATGATCTCCAAAACCCATTCATCCGTAGTGACAGATTCCCAAGTAATAGATAGAAAGTGTAAACACTTTCGGTAGGCTTGGGAATCTATCACTTGGTGATTGCCGAAGGGAGGAAGGAAGGAGAAACATTGCAGTTGGTATGAAAAGGGGACAGCAGCTCAGGACCTCAACCACCCTGTCAAAATTGGTGCTATGAGGTGGAAGATTTGTGAGGTGGAAGATTGGGAAGTGGGTGATTTTCTCCTCTGGAACCTTTGTCTCTTGCACTGAAGTTCATGTGGCCTCTGGGAATTGAATGGGGCAGGATATCTGTGCTGACTGGGACCTACTAAACTCTCTCTTTTGGATACATGTATAGATCCCCAGAGAAAATGTAAAGCGGCCTTTGGAGTCCTTTAATGGGTGCACTCATCCTGTGCTGTCAGTGAACAGTTTAGTATCCACAAAAGGAAAGTCTTCGACCATATTCTGGACCTCCTTTAGAAATCCTGAGAGCTGAAACCAGGAGGTCCTCTTCAAAACTACTGCCATAGAAATAGACTGAACAGCAGTATCAGCAATGCAGAGATGGTATGGCAAGCAGTTGGCCTTCTGCAATAATCGCCTGAAATTGCTGTGTTCTGCTGGTAGATATTCAATAAAGGAGTTCAGCCTGGTATAATTTGTATGGTTGTACTTCGCCATTAATGTCTGGTAGTTGGTGATTCTGAATTGTAAAGTAGCTGACGAATATTGTTTTCTAAAACATGTTGAAGCACTCTCCCACCTTACCGTGTCCTAGAGCTCAGTGTCCAGCCCAAGCCCAAACGTCTACACCGCAATTAAACAGCCCCTTAGCCCAACACCTGTGAACCCAAGTCAGCAGACCTGGGCCAGCTACGGGTTTTTAATTGCACTGTAGACATACCCTTAGTGGCCAAGGAGTGAAGGAGGCATCTCCTAATGAGTTATGGTGGCATCCCTCCCCTCCAGCAAAATTGTGGGAATTTCTTGTTGTATGGCATCAGGAAGAGGTTTATCCCTGGACAGCCCTAGGTGAGCACTACCTGTAGGATAGGATAGCTCAGCTCCCATTTGTAGTCCTCACAGAAATGTCTGTTCAGTGTTTCTTCTATGATGCTTTGCAAACCTGATAGAAATGCCACTGAGGGTTATGCACCAGTTCCAAATTTCATTGCTTCTGTGCACAAGGATTGGGACTGTGCTCCCCCTCAGCAGTTTACATAATATATAGTAGCTCTGTTGTCCATCATGTCTCTTCTGAGTGACCCTTGATTTGGGGTAAAAAATGACTGCACTTATATTGAACTGCTCTGAGCTCAAATAGATTGATGTGAAGAGCAGACCCCTAATGGGTCCACCTGCTTTGTGACATGAGATCACCAGCCTAACAGAGAGGCATCTGTGATGATTGTCATTGTGGGGGGGTGAATACAAGCATACCTTGCAGGGATCCTTCTACTTACAGAGAGTTGAGAACTCAGAGATAGACACCCTCTTGGACAAGCTGTGCTTGAGGTAGGCTTGAAGGCATTGGGAATGCAGTCTGGCATGAGGTCTTACAAATGTACAGGCTGCATATGGCCCACAAGCTGCAGATAGGCCCTGGCTGTAATTTGTGTGTGGGGATTTAATACACATTACATTAAAACGTTTAAATAAAATAAATAAAAAAACAGATGAGCAAGCTAGCTAATTTGAAGTTAACTGACACCGCAAAACTCTGTCTCTAGCACAGGCAGCTGAGGAAAAAACTGGAGCGGCAGCAGGTTTCAGACTGGAGCACAAGGATGTATTAGGCGCAGGGGCAGACACTGCTACCAAACACTCGCACACCCATAGGGACAACTACTCTAAGAACCAACTATTTATCAGGGATGGGGTAGATACACAAAGATGACTAACCTGCCTCACAAAGGAAGAGCTGACAGACAATGAAGTTATGTTGTGGCTTCGTGTGCAAGTTAACCATCTACTATATAAAGATGAAGCATTTTCAGGTTAGTAGGTCTCCAGGGTTTAATGTAATGCATGCTATCCTTTAGGATCATAAACTGGATAGAAAATCTCAGATACAGTGGGTTCCGCTTATTAACAAACTCTGGGTTTCCAGCAAAAGTTTCCATTATCCAGAAGTTGCCAACAAGTGGAAGGCAGGTTTGTGGGGCTGTGGCCAAGAAAGGAAGTGCTGGGACATGTGGGTGCAACCTGGAGAGCGCATGGAGAGATACCACGCAGCTCTGTGTGTCCTCGTTACCACCATTCCCTGTGGAAAGCCCCAGCATCGGGGATGCAGCCCCCAATCCTGCTACTAATCTGCCCACAACCTCCCCTCCCGGCCCACAGTGCTGGGACTTTGGCAGGAGATACAGGCACCCCAGTCCGTTACCTCCTTTGCTGGCAGCAGGTCTCTGGGTGCAGTTGGGTTTGTGGGGCTGCAGCCAGGGAAGGTACGTCCCAGTGCTTCCTTCCCTTGTGGAAGTCCCAGAAATCTGCCTGTGGCTGGGACCTTTCTTCCAAAAAAAGTTCTCAATAGTGTCATGCAGTTGCCACTATTTGAACCCCATTAAGTTAATGTGATGGGACTGGTTCCTGGCAAAATGTTGCTATTAACTGGGGAAGTTGTTAATATCAGGATTGCTATTAAGTGGAATCTACCATATTTTGCTCTTGTTTTGCACGTTATTTCAGAGACAAATGTACTGCAAGAAATTTATGTATGATTTTATAGACTTCCAGAGTTGGCAAAAAGAAGCAGCTTTTTAGCAGTCTCCATTCTATTCTTATTGAAAGCTTTCTTAGTTTTGTATTTTTCTCTTCTGTTTGTGCTAAAAAAAAATGTAGAGAAGTTTTTAAGGGATTTTCAAGCAGCACTTTAAGAAACATGGTCATGCCTGAAAAAAATGTGAGCCTCCTTGAAAAGTGATAGTTAAAAATGTGCTTCTGATTGGGGTAGGAGAGGAAAATAAAAACAATTAGTCATCCAAAGTGATAGCTGCAGCAGTCTTTTTGAAGCTTTTCAGTAACCAGGCCTCTTGTCAATTTCAGAACCCTTCTTGAATGCAAGAACAGAGATAGCAGAGGGCATGAAAGGACAGCACAACACATATCCGTGATAGTACTTCTCATCCAGTTCAACAGCTGGGAGTTTTAAACTATATGCCTTGTTTAGTTTGCTGTCTATTTTTATCTCCCTGTCAGAAAGTTTTTTCCAACAGCATGAAGTTTTACTTTTGATTTTGGAATACAATAGTTAATTAAAGATTTGAACCAATACAAAAGAGCTAAGGGAGTGCATTGAAAATGACCTAATGGGGCTCAGAGGTTGAGAGGTGACTGACACTCCCGTGTCTGAGGATAGTGTGAGGAGTCATGGAAATAAAAAATTATATTTAAAACACTAAACTGAACGGAAGGAAAATGAAAAAAAACAGAAGAAAGACTCAGTGAAGCAGCGAAGTAAAGAAGCCGAGTGGTGCTGAGTGGTAGCAGGAGAAGCACAGCTCTTGATGAACATTCCTTTATTGACTATGGTCAAGAATGAACTGGATATAAGTTTTCCAAGAGCAACAGTTAAGACTACCAGTGAACACTGCCCATAAGGACCAAAAATGTTCTAAAAGCTACAGGAGTTCTGCTTGTGCAGCATTAAGGAGCCAACACTCAGAAGTAAAAATATTACACAGACGGTATCTTTAGAAAAGTAAATTTATCCCTATCTTAATCTTAATGGACCTAATAGTGAATGAGAGCTTTAAGACTGAATAGAATATGGTCTGGATAAACAAAGATTTAGCAAGATTAAAGGATGTAGACTACAATGGGAGATAAAGAAAAGATACAAAAAGAAAATTTCACTCTAAGATCTTATCATATTTTATAGTAATATTTACCAAAACATGTTTTAGATTAAGAAAGGGCATTGGTACCTCAGCTGGAAGCTTTCTACTCTAGTGATACTATAGTGATATTCTTTTGTCAAGTGCTGTGAGAGTGACTGATGAAAAGCAATATATAAGAGTTAGATATTATTTTATTTATGTAGGCTGATGGACCCGTTAAAGAGATGTTTTAAAAATTTCTACTTGGCACCTACACAAACATGAAAGGGCAAATTAAGATTCATATGGATGATACTTTTCTTGGAAATAGTGCTTTAGATATATTTTTTGCACAAACATATTAGGTACATAATTTTGTTTAGACTTCTGATTAAAACAACTTACCATTTTCAGGCTGAGTTTTCTTAAGGGAATCTATTAGAGTACTGACAGCTTTTAAAACGAATATGATTTCTGTTACTTGCTGCCTACAAGGGGAAAATATATAAACTATCAACTGTACAATTTCAAAAATGTTTCCCAGAATATGATTTTTCTGTTGACTTATATAGCAAATACAAAAACAAATTTTGAACAATAAAACCTTTGACACGCAACCCAGTGAAACCAAGGTTATCTAATGCTGTAATTAACATTCATCTTTAACTGATGTCATTTCCCCACATACATGTGACCAATTTATATTTAATTTTTTGAAATCATGTCAATACATAGGCCTCAATCATGCAAACACTAATATATGTGCTTAACTTCAAGCATATAAGGAGTCTCACAGAAGTCATTTATTCAATCACGTACTCAATGGATAAAATTTTCAAAAGCTTTTAAATGGAACTGAGATGCCTAAGTTATTTAAGTGTTTTTAAAAATGTTACCATATATTTATGTTCAGTTTTCTATTTCAACAACAACGATGGTATGACTAATGCTTCAGAATATTACTACTTTGCTATTATTTTATTTTATTTTTAGGAACTTTAATATTTTCTCATCAACCTATCAATAGCTCTGCTAGAAATTAAGGAAGAGATGGTTACAGAAACTTTTCAGAGACAATGAAATACAATTGTACTACTATATATTGCACTCCTGAACTCTGGGTAATAGTCCTGAGGATAACTGCTTCTTAAAGGCCCTTCCAATCAATAGCCTTCCCAAATTTGGCATTTGATCTGAAACCCCCTGCCCTTATACATTCTTCCATAAGAAATAGTAACTCACCCTGTGCAGTAACTGCAGTTCTTCAAGATGTGTCCCTCTATGTGTCCACTCTAGGAGCATTTGTGCCCCTTGTACTTCCATGGGAGATTTTTCATAGCAGTGTCTGTTCAGCTGAGAATTCATGTTACTCCACCTTGTGCTCCATGGGCGTTGCTATATAGCACTGCACAGGCTAACCATCATCAGTTCCTTCTCTACCGTGAAGCCCCATGACAGGTAATTGAAGCAGAGCAGAAGGAGGGTGGGTACTGGAACACCATCAGGTCATACATCTCGAAGAACTGCAATTACTGTACAGGATGAGTAACCATTTCTTCTTCTTCTTCAAGTAGCGTCCCTATCAGTTCTCCACTCTAGGTGACTACAGAGAAGTTCTCTTTTAAGGAAGAGGCGGCTTTGGAGTCTAATTCAGTGTGAAAGAAAGTACTGCTGAGCCAAACACAGTATCAGAAGCAGAGTCGTGAATTATAGGATAGCAGTCAGCAAATGTATGCATAGAAGCCTGTGTTGAGGCTTTACATATTTCAATGATAGGAACATTCTTAAGAAAGGCTGTGGAGGTGGAAATAGATTTCAGAGTGAGTTTGTATGTCAGTGGGTGCTTCAAGATTATGAGTTCAGTAGCAGTTACTAATACAGTCAGTTATCAAGCTAGAGAGCCTCTCTTTAGAGATTGCACCTCCTTTTGCTCTGTCTGAGATCAAGACAAAAATCTGGAGGTCTCCCTGAAATGTTTAGTCCTATCAAGGTAGAAGACAAGGGATCTCCTGACATCAAGTGTGTGGAGCAATGCCTCCCTCTTATCTGGTGAGGTTTATAGTAAAAGACAGGGAGGTGAATGGGCTGATTAATATGGAAATCAAAAGGTACTTTTGGCAAAAACTTGGGGTATGGTCATAATGTAACGTTGTCTCTGAAAAATATGGGGATTGTGCCATAAAATGAGGAGTATGCCATAAAAGCCCCATTTCCCCCATTCAGCGAGCCAATGTGATGGCAATCAGAAATGCCAATTTCACTGATAAACAGAGTTGTGAGCAGGCTATAGGTTCAAACGGTGGTCTTGTAAAGCATTTAAGAACCAAACTGAGGTCCTGAACTGTAGTAGGGCATTTAATTGTTAGAAAAAGGTTGCACAGGCCTTTGAGGAACCTCATTGTCGTTGGGTGGGCAAATACAGCATAACCTTCTACTGGAGGATGGCTGCCAGATGAACTCTAATGGAATTCAGTGATAATCCTGAGGTCTGTAGTTCTAGAATGTAATCCAGTATGTCTGGCAGCAATGAGTTTGAGATCACACCAATGAGCAAATATTGTCCATTATTGTAACTGTAGGGTGTAGACTGTTTTTTGCTGTGCAGTAACCCCCTTTTTACTTGCTGTGAATAGGCAGTTTCTATGCCCATGCTTTGAGGTGAAGGATTCTAAGACGGGTGATGGATCTTCCCACTCTTCTAAAAGACGATAGGAGGAGTGGCACGAAGAGCAATTGGGGAGAACACTGTCATCTGTATCAAATAAGGAAACCATGTTTGTCAACTCTGGCCTTGTCCCTTTTTATTTTGAGTAGGACTTTGAATATTGGAGGAGTTGGGGGGGAACGTATACAGAAGACCCAGCAACCACTGGAGGTGAAAGGCATCCCCCAGGGATCAATGACGCAGACTAGTTCTGCAGCAAAACTGGGTGCATTTCCTGTTTATTGCTGCGGTGAAAAAGTCTATCTGACGAGTACCCCATTGGTAGAATATGTGGTGAAGTATGGTTGAATCTATCTCCCACTCATGGTCTTGAGAGAAGTGCCTGTTGAGTCTGTCTGCGGTCACATGCTGAACTCCTGGAAGGTATTTTGTGATAAAAATCTGATTTCATATACTCCAATTCCAAAGCTTTATAGCCTCAGCAAAAGGAAGGGGGATCTTGCTCTTCCTTGCTGGTTTATATAAAACATTTATGACATGTCAGTCACGACCTTTATGTTTTTGCCTCTAATTAGTGGCAGAAAACTGGAGACACACGCATCTGCCTGCCCTTGATACCAGAGAAACCCCTTTTTGAAGGCCCCAGACTCCATCTTGTATCCCAGGCCTCCATTTTGAATAAGCAAGAGTCACTTCACTATTAGATGAAAACTGTAGGTCATGTAGTACTGATATTGGCAGAGGAGAAGTTGACAGGGAAAACAGTGGTGAGATAACATTGACCATGAGGCTGGGGACCTTCTGGCTACATTAGAGACAATGTTGCAAAGTGGCATGGACAACCTGAAATGAGGCAGTTGTTGATCATAAGACTAGGTACATTATAAACTATGTTGCAAAATGGCAAGTAATGAGTTAACTGTTGATCATGAAACCAGGTATGTTAGAAATAAATGTTACAAGTGGTATGTGCTCTGGAGAGTTCTGACAAAAAGATATTAGCAAAAGCAAGCAAAACAACATGTCAATCAAGCCTGTCAGAAGAGGAACAGAGGACAGTGTTCTGTTCATTTGCTTTGCCTGTTCAGTACTGTCCATTCAGTTCAGTAGAGGGAAAAGACCAGGAGCAGTTCAATAAAGAGGGAAAAGACTAGGAGCAGGAGAGCACATGAAGATCAGAAGATCAGAGAGGAATAATCTAAAGACAGTTACCAGGAACTGTCAGCGGCCTGTGAATGACCGATCACCATAAGCAGGGTACAGCCACTTAGCATCACATCAAACTGTGTGGTAATGTAGTTTTGGGGGGTGCTTTAGCCTGTTGTGTTGGGGATTTGTGTTACTGCGTTGGGGATTTGTGTTTGCACCAATAAAAGGGTGACTTGTTTTGGAAAGATACTACCTGGGTCAATCATTTATCAGAAGTCTGTATACATGTCCTCCAGGTATTGCTTTAGCCACCCTGGAGACTCATACCTGATGGTTAATAGGGTGGGTTGTTTTGAGGGAGTCTTTGGTAAACCCTGGAGGGGTCACTAGGTGAGCTACTGGAGGGATACCTAAATTCTGTTTCCAGGGTAACACTGAGTTCCAGGAGGAAGATATGCAGAGAATTTTCTTGAGGCATCTACCTGCCCTGAACTGTTTGGAGTCTAGATGCGCACGCCATCCCAACAGGGAAGCATCTGTCATTATGACAGTCGTTGGGGGGAGGACAGATGAAGGGGACTCCCGCACACAAGTTGTGAGGGTCTTTCCACCAACTATACAGAACTGGGTATGGAAAGCAACATGTTGAGACTGTGTCTGCTAAGCGAATAAACCATCCTGACCTACCCTTAAAGGCATCACATAAGCAGTCATGTGTGATCTATAGGGCCCTACCAAATTCACGGCCATGAAAAATGCATCACAAACCGTGAAATTTGGCCTCTCTGTGAGCTTTTACCCTATACTGTACAGATTTCATGGGGGGAGACCAGCGTTTCGCAAATTGGGGGTCTTGACCCAAAAGGGAGTTGGCGGGGGGGGGGGGGGGGGCGAACGTAAGGGTATTTTAGATAGGTTGTGGTATTGCCACCCTTACTTCTGTGCCGCCTTCAGAGCTGGGGGTCTGGAGAGTGGCGGCTGTTGACTGATGGCCCAGCTCTGCAGACAGAAGCGCAGAAGTAAGGGTGGCAATACCACAACCTATCTAAAATACCCTTGTTCGCCCCCCCCCCCCCCCCC